GCGGGCGGGCGGGCAGGGGGTGTCCGGCCCGGTACCGCCGGCCCAACGGCTGTGGGCAGGGCCCTGCGGCCGTCCGGGGTGGGAGCGGGGGGGTAAATCCCGGCGCGGAGGTTGAGGGGAGGCCTGGCAGGGCGAGGGCCGCAGCCCGACGGCGAGAACCGGCTACGGCGGTGGAACAAGCCGAGGGGCCCTGCGAGGGGGCAGCGGGGAGGTGAGAGGCAGCGCCTGGCACTTCTGGGGTGGCCAGGGCTCTGGGGCCCTCTTCTGATGGCTGCTCTCCAGGCCCTGCCTGCCTTCCTCCGTTCTCACCTTGAATTAGTGAATCATCTCAACATTTATTTTACTCCTGATATCGCCCTGGTGACAGAAAACACGTATTTCTACGCTCCAATCCCTGTAATGAAGTCTCACATTTCTGTGTTTTCCTAAGTAAGAATAGGTGGAAGCAGGTACTTAGCCATTTTCCCAAGTCAGGGACATTCACTCCCAATTTCTGTCACTTCCCTCACACAGCCAGAAATTCAGGTGCATTGACTTAGGAGCTTACTCCAATACGAAATGTGCCCTAGCCATCCAGACTTTCACTACAACTTTGTTCCTAATTGTCTTAAGCTGTATTTGAACGTGTGCCCAGAGTGCTTTTATGAAAAATTGGATCTCAGAAGCAAAATCTACTGTTGTCTTGTTACCAGCTGGGCTCGGAGAGATTGAACCTGGACTGAGGAATTAGATCCTGACCCAGGAGGAGAATTAAGTCTCTCTGTACTTTGCTGGGCCAGGGTAGAAGCACTCAATGCCTTGTAAGCATGTATAAGCAGAGGTTCTTCTTAGAGAGATGAAATTGTTAGGAAGTAGGAGCAGAGAAGGGAATATTATGAATTCTCCAAATTATTGTTGGCTTCTACTTTAAGGAAGAGGTAGAAAGCAAAGCAACACTCAGTAATCTACCCAGTTAACAGTATCAAATGTGCACTAGGAACCTCTGCTCGGAGAAAGGACACAACTTTGAGGAGAATAAACTATCTGTCAAAACACCCTGTTTTCTGGCAGTAGAGATGCCACAGCCAGTGAATGCTCCCTAAATCTTATCTTTTCCGGTTCCATACAGATTTAGTCCCATATTGGACATACAACTAAAAGTAGCACCATGTCTTTCATTCCTGCACTCGGTTCTCATGGGTTCTCATCAGTACAGCCTCAGAGAGCAGGAGCAGAAAGTATTTATCTACAGTCAGGATGAAACCTAAATTGCATCTCTAAGCCAAAACCAAGGTTACTTCAGCTTTCCAAGGTTTCTTTTTTTTTTTTTTTCTTTCCTCCAAATGAGCAACTTATGTTCTAACATTTGTAGTGGTAGGCAGAGTTTTTAAGGCCACAACTATTTTGCTTGCCTAAGGGACATTTTTGGTAAAAACTAAGGTATTTCTGATTTATGTCCCAGCTGCTGCCACTGTGGATATTCAAGAAGCTCTTTTGCAAATCATTTGCAAAACAGAGCTAAAGGAGATGTGACATTCTCAACTTTGAATTTTCTCACTGGAATTCATCGGTATCTCCTTAACTGACTAAAAGGAATGCTTGCAAAAAATGCTGCTTTTGAAGCCATTTTAGTTTATCAGGCAGAAGGATGGGAGAAATGTGCATCCAGGACTCTCACACAGCAGAGGGAGTTGCAATCCCCAAAGGAACAGGAGGCCAGACCTTTTATACAGTTGTTTTAAAAATTATTTCTTGATATGTTTTTCTTTCCCTTTAGATCAGCAGCGAAAGAATGTCAACCTAAACTCTTGGGGGAAGCTGAATCCTTCACATAGCTCTTTTTTTTATTATTAATAGAGTTTAATGAAGGAGTTCAGCAAAGCACAGTGGTTAAGGTTGATGCCAATGGCTGCATCAGGATGGTCTGTGGGCACTGCATTAACACTAAAATCCAGGGAGAGCAGATCACTATTTGTAGTATTTCTTAATGCCCCAGACAGCGGTTTCCTTCTCACTTCCACATCAACGTAAGCCCAGAGCATACTGCCTTGGCACATGCATCTGCTGAGTGAGCATATGGTTATAAGAGGAGATATATAGGAGGAGCAAACCAGCAGGCTTTAGAGAAACATTCCAGCTATGAGCTTCCTTAACGCACATTAATATCTTGAATTAATTCTCTCCTGGACAGAAGCTGCTGATGGGATAGAGGAAAAGCTATTGCATCCTCCTTTGTTTCCAAATAAGTCACTTTTTCCTATGAGAGCTGCAAGTGTTATTTCTTCTTTCAAGAATGCTGTCATAATCATCTGTCTCAGCTATCTCACAACAAATCTTTTTTCACTGCATTTTTTCGCATTAGGACTCCACATGTAATAGATTATTCTTATGTTGTTTAGTCTCAAAATATGGATCATAGATTTCTTAAAAGATAAATATGAGTAAAACATTTAAAAATTATTTTATTAGTGCCTGTTGACTGTAAAGAGACATTGTCTGACTTTCTCTATGTAAAAATATTTAATTCATGCATCTCCACTTCCATCATTGATTCCAGGGTTGAAAAGAAAGGAAAAGTGATGGGTTTAGTTCATTATACAGATTATTAGCTATTTATTTAATGATAATAACAGATTCCTATCTCAAGCTGCAGCATATTTTTTATAATTAAGAGAAAAGAGAGAAAAAATCTCAGAAGCAAAGGGAGGAAATCAGCTCCTTCTTAGTCATAGGTGACCATCAAAAGCCCTGAACAGTGGGATTAATTAGGTAAGTAAGTCAGTATAAAGAGTACAAGTAAGATAGTAAACATATTGATAATATTCAGAATCACTCCCTTGCTGTTATCTTTTCCTGCCATGATTTAAGCAAGCTTCTTGAAATAATTTAGGGTGCCTCTACCATTACCTTGTCTGAAAGGCTGTTCCATATCTTCATCCATCCCGAAGTTAGAAACCTTATCATAATTGCCTGGCTTAGGGGAAATTACACTCCTTTGACCCTGGACCAGCATTATCCTTTAACTTAAATAGCTCTGTCTCTCCCTGCTATCTACTCTTCATATGTATTTACAGAGAGTAATCACAGTCCTCAATTCTTTTAACCTCTCGTAAAACAGAACTTCTATTCCCATGATCATGCCACTAGTCGTCTTCTGTACCTGTGCCTGTTTCTTAACACAAACAACTAGAAACATGCACCATGCCTTATCTGAGGTTTTCTGATGCCTTATGCAGCGGCACTAATACTTCTTTATATCTGCTGAAAATACCAGTCCTGCTACATCCTAGCACTTTGCATTATTCATGGTTCATAACATTGGAGTCATGCCACCCCTGAACCCTCTCTTCCACCCTGTGCTCCTGACCTCATAGCAGAAATTCTTGTGAAAATCCTTAATGCAAGACTGTGCACCTGGTAGTCTTGCATTCTGAGATATTATTCAGTTAATTGAAGAAAAGGGTCTAGGCTGAAAGGAACAATATTCCACTTTCATTGACTATACATGTAGCTGTCATGAAAAAGACTGACTGCCACTTGCACACTGGGCTTTCTAGTTGCAGTCTTAGGCACAAGGAGAGCCGAGTCCTGTTACAAAGGAAAGTACATTTCAATACATGTTGTGTTAAATGACTTACTGCAAGAGACAGAGACATCAAGAAGCAAATACATAAAATCTAAGTTATTTTTGAAAGTGGCCCATTTTTTCTGCCCAAGTGAAATTCATTTCATGTTCCAACTGTAAATTACTATATTTTCTTCAAGAAAACAACAAAAAAGGGCAAGGACAAATGGCAACAGTTTCAGAGAGGTTATGGTAAGTGTGTATTTCTTTAAACACTTATAAAGTTGCATATGAAAAATCACAGATTTCCAGTGATCAAGAGCATAACTGCACCTAAACCTCTTTAATTTTCATAGAATGTGGCCGTGTCTTATCCTGTTAATCATGCTACCAGGCATTGTCTGATGTATTTCCTTGGCATGCTTACAGATTCAACTGTTATATTCTGCAGACATAGAATATGTTTATTCAAAGGTTTTACAGATGGCATGAATCCAGTTGTAGGTATAGCAGCCAAATGAAGATTTTGTTAGTGGATGCTGATGCTTCCATTGCAATGACATTCAGGATCTCAGTCATGTCAGACTCCAGTTGTGCTAGGTGTTATACAAGAAATATCTGTTTTGTGAGTGTAGGGTTTGGAGGGATTGTCTAATGGCTTACCAAAACATTAAAAATCTCAGAGAATTTATCCATTGTTATGCAGGAGTTTTCTTACGCATTTTTCTAAATGGACTAATTTCACTTGGATTAATAGTGAATGTCCACCATTCCCTAGATGAGCTTTCACAATATTCTATTTGGCAGCAAGGCAGAGATGCTTAAGTGTACATCAGAGCAGTTTCTCATTTGAAATGCAATTTAAAATAAACCAACATAGAATGTCAAAGATAGTTTACTTAGCCCAGATATTGGTTCTTGCTTGACTTTCAACATCTTAAGGTGGTAACAATTCCTGCTGAGGGGATTGGGATTGTAAAAATGTTAAGGCTACACAGTAATAACAAGGAATGTTTAGAGCCTGAAGGGTCACCATCTGACATTTTATGAGACATGTAGATTTATTGTTTTCCCTTTTAAAAAGGCACTTTCATTCCATTGTTTTGCAAAACCAAAGTCCGTCATGAAACACTGCTCTCCCTTGAACTGAATGGTGAGGCCACCTCACCCAGTTTGTGCCTTCCATATCCTTTTCCTTCTCAGCTTATCTACCCAGATCTAGTGTAGGAAGGACCAGGACCTACTTTGTTTTGTGCAAGCTAAACATTCCCACTGTCCCTGAATGCAGCCATTAGCAGAGCATGGCTCCTCTTATAAACAGTGTATGAAAGGCTATAAACAAAGCTAGGGAAATATATGGAAGGCTGCAAATAAGGCTATTTCAGGTCTACCTTTAGTTTAAACTGCTGTTACTAACACCATACTGTCTTTCTCATTGGTATCTTTTGTCTTTGTTCCTCATAGCAAGAGCACAGAGACTAAAGAAATGGAAAAATTCACTCATCTGGAAGCTCTGCTGTTTACTGCTGTGCTGGAGAATTGTGTCGATCAGCTCTCAATTCTCGGATATATCATGCCGGTTTCATATGAGGGCAAGACAGACATCAGCCATGTATGTGCCTTTATCCTTGCTCTTCAAAGAAATCTCTCTTGGTTTTCTTCTTGTCTTGGTTTTATGTCTTCTAGTAGCATTTTTTAAAAATCAATTCAGATATTTTTTCTGCAAAGTGCTCCACGACCCTTGGGTGAAAAAACACAATAAAAATGCATGGATGATCAAGTTTAATATTTATACTGCAGCATCACTGAAAAGCCTTTGTCAAGTCTTTGTGCAAAGAACCCTACTGACCCAAGGTGAGGTTCCCGGGCTTATAATTTTAAAATTGTGGTGTTTAGATGACAAGCAAGGGATTAGGGAAAAGGAAACAAACATGTCTAGGTTCTTATACAGATATGCAGTTATTTTAAAAATGCAGAAGAATAGGACATTCGAAAACACTCAAACACAGGGTATTCCTGTCCCTCTTTAAGTCCATGCTAAGGTTCCTTTAGTCCCCACAGACAATGAATTAAGAAAGATTCCACTTCAAAATATATTAGTAACTACCCATTATCAATGACCATTATTAATTAGTTGATTTCTAATAAGCATCATAACTAAGAGCGTTTGGGAAGAGATATCAAGAACGGAGAAGAAGTCCTAATGCTCAGGCAGAGGTTTGTTCCTGTGGAGGAAGGTGTGATATTTCTGGTAGCTGACAGACATACGAAAATTTACCCTGAGGTGTAAATGGTTCTGAGTTCTGTTGTCATATATTTTAAATGACATAGCAGGCTGTTTCCAGTTTAAGCAGGTTTGAAACTCTTTTTAAAGAAGAACTTAAAAAAGAAAAAAGTGTGTGACCAGGATGAAAATAAAAACCGGGATCCAAGTTTTCAGATCTAATGCTGTTCACTCTGTCTAATGTACCACTTAAGAAAGCAACAGGAAGGTAAATCAATATGTTGTTTTCTACATGTTTCCTTTCCATACTACCTTCTTTTAAAAAAACATCCGTTGCAAAGCAGCAGAAGCTAGTATTAATTTCAGGGCGTGAACGGTGCTTAGACTGTGCAATAGAGGGCACTCCTCCCCTTAAAAGAGTTCTGTGAGCCAGCCTCGCCTGTTTCCAGAGGATGCTTCTCCTTCACAGAGCTGGGTGGGAAACCTCTTATGTGCCAGCAGCAAAAACACAGAGAAAAAAACATATCTCTAGGACAGTAGGAGTTGTTCTTCAGACACACAGACTCAGGTTGGTAGACCTACTAAAGGTGCACAAATTAAAGGGAAAACACCTTAGCTTTTCTCTTCAATCACAGATGCTCATTTTTACCAAGTCACTTCTTAAACCACAATTTTCTCACAGACTATAAACCCTACTTGTGTTCTTAAAGATGCCAAAACAAATCGAGAAGGAGAGAATTTAGAACCAAGAAAATGGCTTAGGGAAGCTACTTGCTAACTTTGGTGCTCTGTAATTTGCTACTCCTCCCCGTTTCTCAGTTTACATTTGGCTGTTATTGTATTTGTAGAAGACCTGTATTTGCAAAGCACTCTGGAGCTCTGTCAGTCAAACAAATCAATGACATTTTCAAAGACTGACATCTAAATTTCAGTTGATGACATTTTTGAGAGGATTAATCACAGTGTTGGCCAGCACCTCATTGATTTTCCAAATCGGGGACTCTTGTACATTGCATCATGCAGTGCATCCCCCAGAGGAAGGCAGCCTTTCTATTTGATGAATTTTCGGCAAAAGATAAACAGCTAGGAGACTACACAGATGGTAACACATGCAGTTTACAAACTCCTTGCTCTTACATAGTTATTTGGTAATTATTAGTGTGTAAGTCCCTACTGTTTACAGACAATCCAGTTATAGCCTGTCTTGAACTTTCCCCAGACATTAAAAAACATCTATTAGAACATTCATAAAATCTACATGATATTAAAGCAGTTCGTTTGCCAAAATTAGTTCTTTCTGAAGTATAGCCATCACCAGCAAACTATTTAAACCCTTTTTTTTCTAATTAACTATGTAATTTTCATTGGTCTGTGTATACTTTGCATGTGATTCATTTAATGTAAATTTAACTGTCCAAAAATTAAGCAAGTAGTCACCTGAACTGCTTCTGTAGTCAGCGGTGAGTCAGGCACTGCCAGAGGCTGATTCATACCATCCAGAGATGTCCAAGACACTCAGAACGAAGCAGCCCCTTGCAGTGCCCTGCACACTGCCCTTGTGGACGATGGCAGCATCACAGACCACTAATGGAGCTTTGCTTGACAAGTAACTTCTTGGAAGTACAACTGGCATACACAGTTGCTGCCCTGACCGCTTGGTTTTTACTCTGCCCTCTGTGCTGTGTTGGCACAAATGTGTGTGTGGTTGTGGAGGGATCTGAACTGAGAACTGGTGCTGCTAAAAATAAACATTTTTTTTTCCTTTTTGCTGGAAAATATTTCAGCTCAGTGACTTCTCTAATCCATTTCCCCAACCAGCCAGGGTGGGGAGTAGGCAGCTACAGACTAGGATGGGGCTGGCAGTGACTGCGTTAGCTGGCTTCAGCTGTACGGCTATTATGTGTTCAGTCATAGAGATGCTAGTAGGCTGGCAAGAAAATTTTCTCTTTTCATGTCCCAGTGTATACACCTGCATTCTTACCCATAGCACATAAAGCAGAGAAATTCCTAGAAGCAAGGCCTCAGCTGATTTTGTAGTGTGCTTTTGCTTTTCTGGGGATTTTTCTTTTTTAATAAAATTGTACACAGCCACAAGATACCTTTCCATGTAGAAGAGAGCTGCCAATATTTTTAATTTCTTCTTTGAATTGATGTTATACTTCCTCCATTGTCACTCTCTCAAAAAAACCAGCTAAGCAGATAGCTGATGTCTATTACTTTTATTTCCACACATCTCAGCTCTTGTAATATTGTAGGGAAAGGTTGTGGTGACAGGCAGTGGGAAATGGCTATGATGGAGAGAAGACGGAGGGGAAACAGGCTAATAGTCTTCCAGTACATAAAAGCTGCTGCAAAGAAGGATGGAATGATTTGTTCTCCGTGTGTATGGAGACTAGGACAAGAAGCCAGGGGCTCAACTGCAGCTGAGGAGAAAAAAAACCTTCTTATGGTAAAGATCGTTGTGATGTGTTGGCATTGGCAGGAGGGTGCATAGTCTCCATTGCTGGAGGTCATTAAGAACATGTCAGGAATGGCACAGACTGAACCATCATCTCTTGGGGCAGATGAATTCACCTTTTGAGGCCTTTTCTACTTCTGTCACTTTAGGACTTTTGATCCCATGAACTTTAGTAAGCCTACATTGTAGATAACCAAGATAAGTGTTTCTACTCTTCTACTCTTTGCAGAATGTAACATACACTCCCAACTACTCTTAGTATAGCTTAATTCTAGTTTATTATTAATTTTCCTTCCTTTCACATAATGTTGCAGAGGGTTTATTTCTACTGCCTAATGTGCAAGCATGTCTCTCTTACTCCCTTTTAGACTGGCATCCAGGAAATGACAGAAATCATAGAGACCCAGAAGGAGCTGGACATTAACTACCAAAAGCTTATGTCAGCAAGGCAAGGGAGTGGGGAAACAGTTACCTCCATGTTTCTGCAAAGCATCAAACACAAGCAGCAGCTGGGGAAAACTGAAGATCTAAAAAGTACCCATCATCTTTCCAACAGGGCCATGAAACACAGTGCTCTGTCTGTAGAGGACCTCAGGAAAATTCAGGCTGACAGGTGAGTGAAGCACAAATATGATGGCTATGGGGATGCTCAGAGCTGTAAAGTTCTCAGTCTATCTCCTGAAAGCAAAAATACAGGCTTCCCACTCTCCCACTGTTGGTGTACCTCACTCTTGGTCTGGAAACAATATCTCTAAGGAGCACAGTGGGGTCTAGCTTCATAGGCCATTTAATTCTGGCCTTTGCTTGCCTCTGGATGCCAAGTAATGACAATCAGTTTATTTTGAATGGAGTTGCGAAATGTTACTCAGTTGATAATGGTTGCTAGGGTGGAATTCATGCCAAGATCTAGCCAGTGCTGATGTTCTGGTATTTGGAGTCAGCTTCCCCTAACAGATACATACAGGCAAAGCAGGATCTGAGCATTGCCTCATGAACTCAGTTATTCTGCAGGGCACGCAAAGCCTCTATGGCAGCTACAGCCATTCTCCTTTACAGAACAGATAATGTGTATAAAGACCAAAGAGTTCCTTTCTTTTTTAAAATAAATTTTATTCCTGCACCTAATCAAGTAACTTGATCTGCAGAGATACTAACATCCTTCAGTTTAAGAGACAGATTGGGGAACTGAGCATTCAGTACGCATTTTTCTGCATCCTGGTTTCTGTCCTTTAGTGTTATTTCAACAAAGGGCTTAAAGATCCTAACACAAATGAGGAAAATGCAGCTAAAATATAAATACCATATGTACCATGAAATTCAATAAACTGGGCAAGCCCATGTATTTGTTAAGATCCGCTCAGAGCTGTACTGGGATATTTTGGCACCCAGATATCCCTCCATAGACAGACTTGTCTGCATCCTCCTGTCTCATTGTCCAAGATCTACCTAGCTGTCATCACTACTGCAGGCCAGCAGCCTTCTTCCTGATGGCAGCACAGCCTGGCACAGCATGGATATGTTTGTGCCTCTTTGCTGTTTCCTAGAGTAGCATTCAGGGCAGCATTTTTAAATTATAAACTTCAACCAACTCCTAATATAGAGTTCCCCAGATGTACGAGAAGCAGGTACCATGGGAGAAGCACTCCTGGGTTTGATAGACGTAGGAACAGAAATGAGATCTTATAGTTCCTTACCTTTTTAGCTGTAAACAATACTGAATAAAGGTGCCAGACACTGTAGTACCAGCACCTGTAAATTACTGTTGTGTTCCTTTTCTTCCTGGCAGGCAGTATGCAAGTGATGTAATTACAGTCACTATGAGAAAGATGCAGGAATTGGGAACATTTAATAGCCTAACAGAAGCTAATGAGAGAGAGAAGGCAAAAAAGAGCAAGTTTCATGACTTCCTCATCAGGTCAGTGTTGTGTTCAGTACTTTCCTGCTTAACTGCTCAAAGATGAAGTCCATTCCCCCTCAGTACATGCTAAAAAGGAAAATATAAAAACTCCTAAGATACAGAAAGGATTCTGCTTTTTCAACTTGAATTATTCTCTCCGCTTTACAAATTGCAAATTCCCTTTCAGAAAGAAATAACTGATGGTTCTGATACTGATCTGAGCTAGGAATTGCCTGAGCTTTCACCACAGTGGACACCAGTGTCTGCATTAATGCAAATGCTGCTCCATATCAATGAAAACATAATGTGATGTAGGAACTCCCTGATCTTTAACTCCTTGTCCCCAGTGAAAGCCAGAGCAGCAGAGAATCTGTTCAAATCAGGGCCAGCAACATATGGTCTTTAGGTTATGTGATGCCCAGGAGGATCTGCTCTGACCCATATGCTAATATGCTCCCTTTTCCCAGGAGCAGCAAGGGGCTAGCACAGATGGTGACAGAGGCAGTTGTCTTATTTAAGGCTAATCCACCAGCCACTGCATTATAGATCCTCTTCTGTCTCAAATCTGATAGGGTACGGATTTGTTATAATCTCAACTCAAACTGGTGATTCCTTAGCTTAAACTTCTGTGCACTAGAGGTTTGGAGTTTTTTTTAGCACGGGAAGCTCTGGTTCAATCCGCAGCCTATCAGAGAGAATAGCAGTCATCAGAGAAGTATTTGACCATATTAAAGCTACTTTGTTTTGTGTAGCAGCTCAGGCCCATCATTTAGAGTAGACAGCAAAGCTGCTGTAGGTCATGATTTGTCATGAGTCCAACCTACTGGAACAACCCCAGTGGTGGCTCCGTGGTCTGCCTCCAGTGCAAGTCCCCAGCTTCCAGTGAAATGTGTGATTCGAAGCATGAAACCTGTTTATCCATGGAAGGGACAGAAAGCAAAATGAAAGCAGCAATTGCTTGTGGAATAACTATGCAATACTGGAAAGTGGAAAGGAGCAGACAAATTATAATCAGAAAGGACATAATCTTTTTTTTTTCCATTCTATCAATCATATCTAGCCACTATGTTGTCTGTTCTACTATACATTATTTTCATGGAATGAACTTGGTCTGTCTTTCAATATAATATATACTTGTCTGGGTTTGTATCAATATCCTAGTCTGAAAGCAGTCTGCAGTAAAACTGGAACTCCTTATCAGGAGCTTTTGTTTATCACAGTCACCCAGCTAAGGACTCTGAAAATTAAATGCATGTTTGATTGTAAGGTTGGGATAGGAAATGAAGTCTCAGGTACCAACTCTAGTATTTACTGGCTTTAAATCAAATCATAAGCATAAAAGCTTAGAAAAGCACTCAGAGTGAAATAAGATAATAATAAGACCTAGAACATTACTGCATCTGTTTTGTTTTAAACAGGTAAACAGCTCTGTAGCTTTTGGCCTTCACTCATACCCCTTCATGGATCTCAGAATCTGAGGCAGGTTTTTTTGAAAGATTTTAAGTCCAATATGAAAAAAATATATTCCATACATATAATGAAACTTACACAATTTGGCACTCTCTGCTGATTAGGCATGCTTCTGCACAGAAACAAGGAGATTTTTGCCTGAAATGCAGAAACTGGCACTCAGTGATAGCCTTCTTCCCTCTCTGCTATAGGAATCACATCATCCTTTTTCGTTCATTCTCACTTTCATTCCCATTCTCTTTGCTTAGTGTATGCACCTCTTCTTTTGGGATTAATTTACCAAGTCACTAGCTTTGGCAAGGAGTCTCTTCCTGACTTGCAAATGTGCTGCCTCCCTTGAGGCTCAGAGTGAAGTGCTACTCAGCCCCAGGAAGGGGCTTGTCTTCTGCTGTTCTGCACAAGCAGGCCAAGATTTTGTTTGCACTTTTAGTTCAGTTGTTACAGACTCGTTGAGTGAGCAGGGTAAGCGGGGCAGTGCTCAGTTAGCACTGTATCAGGAGACAGGAAGTTCTCCTTTAGGTAAACAGCTCTTGTCTTTTTTGGTATATTCAGGTGATTGTATTTTCCCATTTTTCTTCAGGGAGGAGGAAGGAAAGAAGGAGATAAAGTCACTTGAGAAACAGCTGCAAGATGTCAAGAAAGAAACAGAAATAGAACTTCAGGTGAGATCACTTAACACTGGGCATCATGCCAGCAGGGAAACTCGTTAGCAAGCTCACCTCTGCTGCCCAGGAACTAGCACTCAGATGAGAGGATGTGTGGCATATATAATGATCCATCATTTAGGAATATAGAAGCAGAATAATTGCAATAAAGATTTGTATTCTGAATAAGCCTGCTAATGACTTTAGGAGCAGTGTCCAATGGTTTTCAAATGGGAGCTCAAAATGCTTATAATCATGAGACTATGATCAAATTAGAGTACCCCCAAAACACTGCTGGGAGTGGCAAAGCACAGACATCTGCGATCAGTAAGAAAGAGGTTATCAGCAGATACCAGTATTTAAGGTTCTGTCTTACTTGTGCAGACGTGACACCTGGCACAGAAGAAAGTGTGATGATGAGGGAGTGAGAAAGATAGACACCTGGCATAGGGGCATGTCATTTTTCTACCAACAATTTTGTGTGGGGAAAATGTCATTATTTTAATCTATTTTTCTAGGCTTCCAGATATTAGAAAATCCCAAACATGGGAGTCCTACACAAGGGCAGATCAATGTTACTGCACATACGGTGTCAACTTGATCTTTCTGGAAAGCTTCAGGCCTTCTGTCTGCAGCACGCAAATGGTGTGTGCATACACAGTAAATATGGGGCATTCTGGAAATGTCAGACTTGCTACACAAGTGCAGATCAATTGAGTGGCATATCGTTGGTCACTTTGATGTTCAGCAGACAGCTCAGACTTGATGCTCATGCATGCTTTAGAGCAAAAGCACACGCAGTTCTGTGCAGAAACATGGAAAGGTAGCCTAGCCCTGCTGAGGCAGGAGAGAGTGTGTGATAGAAAACAAGCGAAAGGCAGGCAGGTTCAGAGCTATACAAGGACTGGAAGAAGGAACAAGAATCTGATGCTTGGTTCAGTACTGAGCAAGAGGACAGCAAGTGCATCTGAGGAAAGAATTGGTATCACTGAATTTTGTCTTTGGACAAAAGTGTGGGCAGTAATCAAGCCACAGTATAGTTGGCTACAGAGAGGAATTTTAAGCCACTGACATGCTGGTGAAGTACAGTTTATAGAACACGAAAGTTTTGTGTTGGCAGCCTGGATGCACGTGCAGTGGAAAGTTTAATTGTAAATACAGGACGGTTGTAAGAACATGAAGAATCTATTGGCACTGGTAGTGTATGCAGCTATCTATAACTGACAAAACACCAGAAATCCAGGGGAGATATTGGAACAGCAGAGAAGAAAGCAGGAATGTACAAGACGAAAAAATTAATTTAGGTCAGTACTCATCTACTACTGGAGATGCTGGAAATGCATAACATACACTGGGAAGTGTAGCAAGGTGAAAAGTACACTGGAAAAAAACTGTGGACATAACAGAGAGGAGAAAGAAGAGGAGTCACTGAAGGAAATGGAAAGTTAGCAAGTTAGGAGACAAACCAAGGAAGAACAGTTGTGGGAACTAAAAGAGGAATGCAGGATAACCTTTTTTCCTACAGATTTGAACAGAACATCTAAATGATGTAGAGGTCAGAGCCAGGACTGAAAAGGGGAGCTGTATACCTCAATATATACTTACTTACTGCCACTGGTAATGGTATGGGAGCCTATTTCCAGGCCCTATGGGACAAGCCAAAAGTCCCTTGACATCTGTGTGGCAGTTAAACAAAATAAGCTGGATAGTTTGTCAGGCTCAGAGACTCTATGTCGTCCATTTGCTTCTCCACATTGTCCCTTCTCAGTCAGATTCTGAGGGCTCCTGGGAAGCTCCTGTTCTCCCACTCCCCAAGCTAGTGAATATGATGAGGTAGTTCTCCTTCTGTGTACTGCTCCTCAAACCTCACAGTGTCCGTGCACACAATATACGTATCCAGTTCTGGTTTAATGCCTTCCCAGAGACTGGTGTATAGAGGGCTGTAATGATCCCGTCTCGCACTAGCAGCAATGTCCTGGCACTCTGCTGTCAGGCTGGGCACTTCTCTGTGTCCTGCCCTGTACCTCTCCTACCTCTTGCAGTCATAAGAAGGTGTGTAGCTCCTGTGCTCAGAGGGTGCTCTTTGTGTTCTTTCAGTACCTTCTGCTAATTCAGTTCCTGCTTTTTGCCTCATCAGGTGGGATCTGCACTCCTCTGGGATTTTGTTTTTATATTTCCAGCTTAAAAGTCCTTTTCTGGGCTTCCTTATAGTTTCAGCTTTGATAACAAATCAAAGACAAGACTACTTTCAAGTACTGCTTTCCTCCTGTGCCAAAAATAATGGTGTCTCACTGTGTCTCCCAAGGGAGAATAATTTCTATTTGCTTCATATGGGATTTTCCCATAGGCAGTTTTACAGACACTTGCATGATTTGTCACCTTGCCAACTAATTAAAAACAAAAATACAGCTTGCTGATTTTGGAGTACTTTGAACAATAATAATGCAGAGACCTGTAGACAAAAGCCTACATGGTTGTCTCCGGTCTAGTGGATGAGAAAACAAAAGCGAGCAAATCTAACCATGGAACCAGAAAAACATGGTCTTTGCTTCACACATGTTGCCTATATGTATTTTCAGCCTTGCTACCTCTTAATGAGATGCTAATTAATGCTGTATTACCCTGCTTAGCTCATTTTTCTTTCTAATGGAACACAGATCAAATGCTAAATGTTCTTATTTATTTTGTTTTCTTTCCTCTTGGAAAGCACTGATGTCTCTAAAAGAGCTGAAATGATCAGTCTGGTTTTGCTCTCACCCCTCTGTGCAGGAGCATCACCAGTAGCTCTAGTCTGGCTGCAGGAGTTCTGTTTGCTGCTGCAGTGTTCATTTTCTAGCTTGCACAAAAATACTTACTTTCTCCGGTTTCCTGGACAAGTGATAGCAGTCTGTACAGATTTTGAAACAAGTTAATATTGTATAGGATTATATACTTTAACAGAAAAACTTAGGTAGTGTGAACTTTATGTAAAAATTCCTGCATTGCTATTCACCCAAAGACTTTTTATGTCCTGTAGGTTTTGTGGTATACTCATGCCATACATGTGTGCAGGTCATGGTATAATTTTGTAACAAGCAGTAATATTGCAGGCTACCTACCAGACAGAAACCCAAGACGTTGCACCACTGTACCAGTGAAAACAGGTCCGTAACTTTTATTCTACGTGGGCTCTCATAACACACCCAGCTCCACTGTATCAGTGCACCACTTGGTAGCGCTTTTAGTAGTGCAAGTAAAATGTGTCATGTTTCTTCCCTTATCCTCTCCCAGGCGAACAAATGCATCAATGAAGTGTTCTGGGGGAATGTTTCAAACATATATACGCACCCCTGGGTGCATGTTTCTACTGGAGAAATGCACCAGGTGATTACAGTAGAAAGCACAAGGTTCGTGATGGTCCTGAGCTCCTGGGTGACTTCATTCCACTGCTGGCAGAGCCCCAAAGCAGCTCAGCAGGACCCAGAGCTGGTGCACTAGATCCAAACCTGGCTCCAGAGGGAGAGGACTTTCAACAAGAGTGCTGCTGCCAACAGGTCTGCTCCCTCTGCCAGCAAACTGCCCCTCACACAGCTCACTCCCGCAGTTGTTGGGATTGGAGGTGAGCTAGCGGAGGGCTGCAGAAGCCGTTATGTCGAAGCTGGGTGACCTTCCAGGCCTGCTCTCCTTTCGGCTGAGGCATTTCTCGGGGGCGTGCAACATGGAGATGTTCTGGCAGCTGGGACAGAGATGCGGGCTACAGCCTTATTGAAGTGTCTGTAGGGCTGCACTTTGTGGTTTCAGGGGAAGCAAGTCCAGGCTGCAGCAGGTGTGTAGATCTAAGCATATCTTCAGGCTTTGCAAGCTGAGATAGCGCAGCTGCCAGTGGAAAGACTCGAGCTCATATGCACCCGGTGTGGAAGCAAGGAGGCAGGCAGCAGGGTGCTCTGCCGGCATGCTTGCTGCCTGCACGTAGCACAGCACCCGTTCCCCAGCCCCCTCCAAGTGCCTGCCAAATGGCGGGTGCTGGGTGTGCTGCTGGCGGCAGGGGGTTTATCCGACTGCTGGAGGAATTCCTCAGACTGTTTACTCCTGTTTGCTATTTTTGTAACCAGCTATATTTTAAGTGATTGTAAATACTAATTGCTGTGGAAGAGCTGAGATATCTAGATGGCACTGGCAAGAGAGAGAAATCAAAGTAAATGAAAACACAGGACTGCGCATACCCTCTCCAGCTAAGCGCAGTTGCTTTTGCATCCAAACAGCATCTGTGGGGCAGACTCCTATGGCACCAGCTAACAGCAGCAGACAGGCCTCTGAGCTGATGTCTGCGAGCTGAGAGATCAGAGAAAATCAGCTTGTTTACCTGCTTGCGAAGCAGTCTGGCTCTTGACAGCTATTTCCTGGGTTTTGATCTTGGTCTCTGCCAGTTTTGTGATAGTTTTGGACACATGAGGTATGATTTTGCATCTTTGGTTTGGCAGATTCAACGCTGAAGTCATCCCAAATAAGCAGCCCAGAGGTTTACTGCATTAACTATGAAAGCGGTCCGTGTCCTGGCTGGGACCTTCGCTATGATAAACCAGAATGAACAAATATTAACTCATTTTCCCAGTGCCTGTCCCTGAAGTTCAGGGAACAGCATACTCTACAGATGGTACCCACAGCTTGTGGGCATTTAGTGCTGCATTTACTACCTGCAACCTAATACCAAATGCACCCCAGTTCTGCAGCACCAGGTCCATCAGGTGGGCTGCAGTACCAGCCCACATGCCTGCAGCTGACTTTCCCTCTCCAAGCAAATGCATTGCTGTAAACCACCAGTGGGGTTTTGCATTTCACTTCCCGTCTGCTTTGGATTGTGTAACCAAGCCCCCAGACTCCCCACCTCTAACAACGATGTTTTACAACACCACAGACCAAATCCAAACCACAAACATGCCATACAACAAAAAGCAAACAGAGCAGATGGACCCCCATCCCAGCTGAGGCCTGGGGCGCTGGAATCAAAAGCACTTTTTCCTCTGCTTTACTAAAATATGAAAAAGAAAATAACCTGGTAAAGTGCTCATGCTCTGCCCCACCTGTCTAATACCCGAGTACTTTGTAACCTAGGCTGAACCCTTCTTTTCTGACCTGTTTGCACATCCTTAGCAGATAGCAGTAACACACTGACATCAGCAGCACTTGGCTTTGCTGAGCCTCAGCACCACAAAAAAATCGGTGTTTTTCATTAGCATCTCCCCAGTCTCTCTGCCAGCCCCTCAATTTAGACACGATTCCACCATGACACAGGAAGACAATCTCAAAATAAAGCAGTACGGTTACCTCCCATGTCTACTGACCAGGAACACAACCCCTCCCAATGCCCACCAAAATTTCATACCAGGGAAAATAAAGGCCATTACCAGAAACCTTAATAGTGTACAAATAGGTCATGTCTGTAGCTGTCTGCAGTCATATGATGATATGGCTGTTAAGTAGTATCTGATGTTTGAAACCTTCAAAAAAATGTGAACACATGACTTTTAAATGCACAAAGCAGCATCAGCCAAGGCCCCTAATTGTCCTGAGCCTTATAAATATACTTTGCTCTTCCTAACTATGTCCGACAAGGGGTGCAGAGGGAAGGATTTTCCTTTTAACTGTTCCAAACTCTTCTTATAAGGAAAACTTTTCGAAATGAGTCACACTGCAGAGGCTTTTAAACACAGCGCTATTGAGCTGGCTTCTTCCTGTGGCATTTTTCCATGTTTACACAGCCAAGGAATGTGAGGGTGCTTCAGAGACTAGATATGTGGGCTTCAAAACATTTAAATGCCAGCACTTTGGTATTTAATCTTCAGCTGCAAGGTTTGGCTGATGAATGTCAAACCCATCATAGCGTGGCAGGAAAGCAAAGAGAAAGGCTGTAATGGAGCAATTTGGCGCCAAACCAGACATTAATTGATCTTGCATAATTGCATAGGAGACTTTGATGACCTTTTTAACTCTTAATACAAAAGTCTAGAGGTTTTCATTTTACAGACGGTTCTTCCAAGTTCCAGCCCCAGATTAATGAACTTCTGTTACTTAAATAAATTAATTAAAAAGGAGTAAACAAAACAATAATCCCAAATCAAGCAAATGCACTTTGCTTCCTGAGCATGCTCCAAAAGCCAGACAAATGGGGCATGTTGGCTCAGGATTTTTGCCCATGGGGGAGCTCCTAGGGACAGAATTCCCCCAGGAAAGCTCAGCTCCATTGCAAAGCAAGGCATGAGGAGAGGCTGGGAGCTCACAGCCAGCTTTTCCTTGGCACCTCTTCCTCGCCCTGGGTGTATGCTTTTATAGCAAAGTGGGCACCATCTACCTGGTAAGATTTCAAGAAACTACTGTTTAAACATATGAGCAAGACAAGATTAGATTTTCACCTGTTCCTAAGGTTGTGTTTATACAGTTGCTGCATAACTAGAAAAAAAAATGAATCCAAGGAATAGAATATACTTTAAGAAATCAAACTTTGGCTTACGTGGGACTGAGGCATTATCCTCCTCTTACAGATGCTCACTCACAGACAGCCTAATCCAAGAGGTTAGTAAAGTCTAACTTCAAGCAGTTGAAATTATTTGGCTTCTTTCATGCTTATAATAAGCTTGACTGAATCCATTCTTGGACCAGAGACCAGAAGGCCTGGCTTCTCATCTCATTCTGTTCATCACCCTCTCTAGAGGTAATCACTCCTTGCTGATGGGTTTATTGCCTTCTCTATGGGTTACAAACCAAACTTCCCTTTGAAGTAGAGGTGGAAATGGAGCAACGTTCAGGGAAAGTGTGAAGCCTATAGCCTTGTCTCTTCTGAGTTTATCAAGGAGTGGAGAAATTAAGAAACAGTGAGCTGACCTCAGTCACCAGGCTTGCTTTTGTGCTTCTTCTGTCTCCTCCACTAGAACCGAGATAATATGATTGTTTACCTCAAAGATGAGCTCCAAGAAATGAAGGCCAAAACAGACATGGAGAGCTGCTACATGAAGAAAAGCACAGACCTCCAGGTCCACCAAACCCAGAAGAAGTGCAGCAATGCAGAGAATGTCCTCCACAAGGAAATTCAGGTAAGCCCTTCCCCATGGCCCCTACTGGAAGGCATCTCTGGCTAGTAAGGAAAGAGTCCTCCCTCACTCCCCAGATGCCCTTTCTGTTCTCCATCACAGTCACCAACACAACTTTTTGAAGTGGATCAGGAAACTCATCCAGGTTAGAAATCTTTATCTCTTCCGTTGCTTCTCTATATTGTCCTATATTGTCCTGCAAACAGCAACAGTGCAGATGGCACAGCTGCAGGAGACAGTGGCTGGAGGCAGGGACTGCTTAAACTAATACCATCCTCAGAGAAACAGACCATAACTATGCCCAAAGGGTGTAGTTACAAGGCTACTTAGCAACAGCAGCCCAAGCTCCCAGCATTGCCCACAGCACATTATGCTGATAAAGCTGTTTGTGTGGCCATAAGGTGAACCAGCCCAGAAAACTGTTCTGATTTTGCAAGCTTTTTTTTTTTTTGACTGATCAAGGTCTGATCTAGTTGTCCCTTTTTCATGGATGGTTCAGGAGCAAGAACTGCCTTGGTTCATTTTGTCACTGCGAAAAAAGTCTGTGGGCTGGCTACACAGAGAGCTCCTGCATTCTTGCTCACCAGCTTGGCTTTCTGCAGCACACGTGTGCACACACGTATGCACTAACATTGTTTCTCACATTTTCTGTTTGCGCTGATCACAGAAATTAAGGAGCAAAACTGATGAGGAGATTCGAGTCCACATGGAGATTGAAAATTTCCTCAGGCAACACTATAAGGTATGTGTGACTGTCTGCTAATGCTTAAAATAGCAACTGATAAACATTATATCATCAATCAGTGCCTGAAGAAAAGCAGTTACTGCTCCATCAAATTTACCAGGTTCATGATTGCTGCTGTTTGAATGGCTACTTATCCTCAAGTCTTAATTAACCCAGCTCTCCCAGACTTGGGATTTGCTACATTTGGATACATTTCCTTAAAATTACAGTTCATGCAATGATTGGCATTGTTTATTCAGGTGTTAGGGATTTTTCCTCCCTCAGTTGTATTCAGCTAATTGGATTTATTTAGACCTTCCTTGGCAGTAGCTGGGGCTCCCAGCGACTCAGTGAAGAGTGCTACTGCACAAAGCGAGGGCAACAGTTTCACAGACCCAAGTGTTGCACCATAGGGGGCACTAACAAGGAAATGAAGCCAACTCTCAGCCCAGTTTTGCCTTATCTTGATCTGGGGAAGAATCAGGGTTGGATAATTGCTAACTCACAGTCATGGTACCCATTTTCAGCAGCAACCAACCATGAATGTCCTTGTGCTGTTGATCCAGGGGTTCAGAGCTTTCCTATCATCAACAGCAGTACCCGTTACAGTGAGTTACACTGGAAAGCATCTCATAAACTGTATGACTAGAAGAAAACCTATACTCCTGCAGGGTACCTAACATCACTGCCAGTACAAAATTTAATAGAAGATAATAATTTTTTTTAAATGTAATTTGAGGGCAAAAAAGTGCTGTAACTTGTGAGTAATTAAATAGTGTCCTCTATATCCCAGAGCCTTAGTCTCATCAACACTTCATAGTGAGGGGACTTTCCAAGTACAAGCTGCAGCCTATTTGACCTCTACCAGAAGGCAAAGTATAAGCCTTTCTGTACTGAGACAGCAGCTGGTGGCTTTATAGGGGCTCACAGAGAAGAGGATGACCATGCCCTCCATCTCCCTTGTGTGTCCAGCTGTGATGCCGTAATGAGATTGATGCTTTTCCTCAGATTATTTTTCCATGCAGGCAATCATGGCTGTTGCTATGGAGAAGTTATTTGTGAATGGGAGGAAGTCATCTGGGTGACTGTTTCAGCAACACCTGCCCTCCTATTCACAAGTAAGACAAAGCCAACTTTACAACCTGAAATAGCATGAAGTGCTGTCCCCTGGGACCTTATTCCTGGTGCTCTGAGCTTAATCCAGAAAGCGGATAGGGAGTCAGGCAGACCATAAAAGCTTTCTCACTGACAAATTGTGTTTCTTAAACCCCCTCTCTCTGTATAGACACAAAGAGTGGCTTCTGGTTGTCACTTACTTCACCAGGACTGACTGTGCACAAAACAAGCCCACAGTGCTTCTCCATTCTCCAAGTACCTCTGAAAGCCCAACCTCATCTCTCTTCATCCGCAGTGCAGTGCTGCGGCTTCTGTGATGAACCCCCAGTGAGGGGTCTGCAGGCCACCAGTAATTTATCACTAGTCCTAGGGGTTTGACCCTTTCAAGATGAGAAGGAAACACTGACCATGCAAAATTTACAGGACTCTTACCACCATCCTGACAACAGGCCACATAATAGTAGCAAACCTTTCCCCTGTACACTCTTTGTACCATGCTGAGCACCACTCTATCCCCCTGCAGAAGGTGGAAGAGAAGCTGGAATACTGGGTGGACAAGTATGAAAACGACACAGACGCTAAAGATGAAGAACTGGATGCCCTAAAAGCATCAAAGGCAAACAACTTGGAAATGCTGCAGAGACTTGCCAAGGAGGTAAGCAGCAGCATCTCAATGCTCAGCCATGCAAAACTGCATCCTGGCTTTCTCCTACCCTCATTCAGATAGGCAACCAGGACCATGGGAAAAAAAAGAAATCAGTAATCTTGAGGTGTAGGGTGCAATTATAAGCACTGGTCCTGGGAAGGCAGGGACCAAGTAAATCATCTTCTATTTGCCACCTGTAACATCAAGGGAAGATGATGATGTTTTCCCTACTTTCAAATACCAGCAAGTAATCAAAGAGCTATCGCCAGGCTTTGTGAGAGGCAAAGACACTGTTCTATCCTATCAGTATGCCTCACCTTAGTTTGTTGCCTTAGTCTGAACAAATCTGCTCCTTCTAGCAACAATGGGGTAAGACAGGCTGAGACTGGAAAAGGCAGCTCATCCGTTCCTCCAGACACACATTCACAGCTGCACAGTGCTATTATAAGGGAACTGATTCTGGTTAAAACCATTCCTGCCCCACACTGGTTTCTTGATCACAGCTATGCAGGCACAGGACAGTCTGCAGCACAGGGCAGAGAGGTGTCTAGAAAAAAGGGTGTTTTAAAGCCAGAAGGAATTACCTTATAATCATTCCTTACTGTCATTGGGTCTGAGACGATGGGACTGACTTAGATGTTTCCCTGCCTGTGGGCTCATTTTTCACTCTGTACACTGTCATCTCAGTGTCCCAAGTGTGTTTGTACATCATCTGCTGCCTAGCCTGGGGGAGCTCAGGTCCTTCCTACCACCATCTGTTGCCTGAGACGCCATCAGACAGCCATTTTACACCACACGATCAGAGGGTTAATTACACCCAGGCCGTGAGAGGTTTCACTTTGGCAGCAGCTCTCAGTGCCTTAGGACTGACAGTGGTAATGAGCAACATTTGCCATCTGGATTCAGGAAAGATCAAGTAAAGGAGGTGGGGGAGGAAGGCCACGCTTACACATTACCTTTGGGCTGCCAGGGAGCTCCCCAGTGCACAGGGTGGGGATCCACACCACGACCCACCAGCCAGAGCAGCCCTGGTGGGGCTGTGAAAAGCATGTAGCAAGGATGAGATCAATAAGCAGCCAGAGGAGAAGACTCTGCACCAGGGTCCAGGTGAGCCTTGCCCTGCCGTGGCAAGCTGCTGGGCAGAGTGAGCCTTGAAGGTTGGCCCTGCAGTTTAGGGGATGTGTTGTTCATGCAGCTGTTGCCACCCCTGTGCTATCTTGCAGTGCCAGACATTCGAGGAAACCATCATTAGTGACCGGGCAGAAAAGGAGGCTAAAAGAAGACAACTAGAGCAGGATGCCCTGGAGCTGAAGAGCATCTTGAAGGTAAAGGGGAGCAAAGCTGAGGTGGTGCTGCTCCATCAGCAGCTGGGAGTTAATAATTTGCACCACAGGCTTTGTTCAGGCAGAAAATGGCCTGAGAAAGTTGGCTGGTGTGGGGTGGCACAAGCAGAGGACAGACAAAGCCTGTCCCTTTCTACTGGAGCAGACACAAAGCCAGCAGCTAGCTGCAGGTTTGAGAAGGGAGTGAAAGGGGAGAAGCCAGTCTCCTTACATGATTTGGGGCCATGCCCGTCACACCAGCCCCACTGCGTGGGTGATACAGGGAGGGTCACGGGACAGTTCCCCTGCTCGTCCCCTTGCCACCAGCCAGATGCCCTCAGCCCAGATGTGGATACCTCCAGCATAACCAGCACAGGCCCAGCTGCTGCTGTGTGGGCCAGGGGTTCCCTCCTGCGGCTGGGGAGCATGCAACAGACCCTCAGGCCGTTGAGCTGTACCAGGTACCCCAGCAAGTGATTCTTCTAAGACCTCTCTCTCACTTCCAGCTGCAGGCCTGGTGGAGAGGTACAATGGTCCGCAGAAACCTTGGCCCCTACCAGACCCTCAGGAAGATTTGGGAGAAACAGCTATCAAAGCAGAAAGAAAAAGGGAAAAAGGAAAAATCTGGAGCAAAGAAAAAGACACGATAAGTAAAGAAAGCAGCTGCAGACATGCTCCAGGGCTATTGCTGGGCAGGCCACTACAGTTGGTCTGTCTGACAGGACAAAATAAACCATGTAACAGAGCTCGGGCTATTCTGGAGAACACAGCTCATGACAGACATGGTTAAGGTGAAGCTGCAGTTAACTCTTAAGATCTTGAAGCTGCCCTTGTACAGTAAAGACACAGTTTGTCCAGCAGATACGCTGTATCTCCCAAAGTGCTTTATGGAAACATGATAGCTAGCGGGAGGTAATGCTGTTAACAGCCCAGTAACTCACCTGCATGGGATGCTCTGCACCAAGGACCTCCCCTGCAGACCCCAAAGCACTGGCTGTGGCTGAAGCGCTGCTGTTTGCTGTGGCGCTGAGTAAGGCAGGGAGGCCAAGTCCCCTGCATCTGGGCTCAAGCAGCTCTCCCTGCTGTCAGTGCCAGCATTAGGTTGGCAGGGGGAAAATTGCTGACAGCTTGCAGCATAAACACAAGGGCAGTCAAAGCACACAGGTTTCCATTCCCACAGTCCTGCAAAATGTCAGAGCATAGACAGAATAGCTCCAAATACCTTCCGACAGAGGGGAGGAACAATGGAAAAAGACAGCCGGTCGCACTGCCTACAGGAGCTGGTCTGTCACAGCCGTACCCACCACCCTGGCCACCATCTCTGCACAGCAAGATGAGGCAGCAGGCAGGGAGCGAAGCTGCTGGGGAGCAGCGTGCTGCTTTCTTAACCAAGAGGGGAGCCCTCTCTCCTGACATGACTGTCAATCACACGCAGGACTGTGCACAAAGCAAAATTAGCCCTGCGGTTGAGCTGGCTGGTTTCTGACACTCCCACGCAGGAAAGCAAGCTCAAGCCATACAAAGTCTGCTGTGCTCTTTGTGACGAGCCTGTGCTGGCCCCATCTAAACACCCTTGTGTCCAAGCTGAACTGTGCCAAAAGCGCTAAAGTTCAAGTGAGATGACTGCAATCATGAGCAGAGAGCCTTTCTCTCTGAACGGGAGGAGGGGGGCTGGTGCCCAAATATCAGGCAGAGCCGATTGTCAAGGGAGCACTTAAATTTCAGATGCTCTAGACAAACTTGCGTTATAAATTATCAGTATTACCCCTGGAGCACTGCCGCTTACTTGAAACCAGCACACATTCCTGTTCCAGCACTGGTACCAAAGCCGCGAACACATCGCTCGCTTTCCCTGGTCCCCACGCAGTGCTAAGAACAGGGATCACTCCAGCCCGATGCTGGCAGGAGCTGAGCCAGGACTGAACTTACACCCCACGTCTGCACTGTGGCTCCTCCTTGCAGGAGGCACCACGGAGCAACCAGGGGAGCTATATTCCTGATTTTAACTCTTCTTTTTCATGTGCTGCTGACTTGGTATGTTTCATTTAGGACCAGTATTTTCCGTATGTGGTGGATGTTAACAGGTGACCTGTTTGAGTGAGGGAATGAAGCTCGATCATAAACTCTTTGGAGATTTTGAGCTAAAGAAAAAGTGGGATAGAATGGAGGGGCAGTAGATCTCTGCTGTTTATATCAAACTCTAGGCACACATTAGTAATACAACCAAATAACTGAAATTTGAAACATGGAATCAGCTGGTCTTTGCTTGATTTTCAGCAGAGAACAAAATAAAACATAATTCTGAAAAATCCTCCGCATCCAGGGGTTCTGCCAAGGCTGGGCTCCCCTTCAAGCCCCAGTTCCTGATGCCAGCCTAACAGCACTTGTTTTTACAGCACATCAAGTCCCCGGAGCTGCAGTGAACAAGCCAGTAGGAAGTTAACACACTGCACTGGATCATGAAATAATTCAAAACTTCCATTTTGGTGACTGGTATCTCAAAGAAAAAAAAACCAAACCAACCCAAACCCATAAATTGCATAGGCACAGCAGTATGCTTCCAAAATTAGGAAACTCTGTGTCTGCGTGCGTAGAGGAAAGGGTACTTCTTCCTTTCAAAAATGATGTAATAAATAAAAACGCAACAGTAGAACTGGGTTTGCTGGTCCAGTAAGGTGGGGAGTGCCGAAATCTCTTACAGAATCCCAACACTACTGTCCCATCCACTGGGCAGTAGTGTGACAGGGACAAAGGTTTTTAACCTGACGGAACCCCCGTGAGCTTATGCCTCCCCAGTAAGAGCAGCACACCCTTCCTTGCCTGGGGACCATGGCCACGCTGCCACCCACCCGTCCAGCCCTTCCCAGAGGCCGTGCTCTCCTTACGAGCCTTACCTTGCTCGGTCAGAAACTGCAGTGGACTTCCGTGTCTTGGCTGTACAGCTGCCAAGTAAACAGGCTGAGCGCATCCAGTGATGGGAGCAGAGAGCAGTGTCCCAAAACCTGGCAGTTTTGAGGAACTTTGCCAGGGCTGGTACTGCTCGTTTTTTCCAGCTATGGAGAGATGGGATCAAAGTGCACATCCATCATATTTTCTGCAGGGAAAACCAGAAATCAAAAGCCCTTTGAAGAAACTGGTTTCCAGGGAGGTAAATGGAAAAGAGAGACTGGAGACTGAAAAGCTGGTTAGGAGGAGGCTTTAGTCAGAGAGGGAGAAATGAACACCAGGAGAGAGCTGGGCAGCCCTCATGAAGGCAGGAATGGAGTTGTCCCAAGTGACCGGTGGAGTCACCAGGAGGTCAAAAGCTGAAGCAGCTTGGTGAGCAGGGAACAGTACCACAGGGGTATGCAGCATGCACGAAGTAGGGAGCGTTTGTGGATCTCTGGCAATTTCTAGGCCTTTTATTTTTATTTTGTTTTCAAATAATAAAAACTAGCTACATGGAGGGAAGAAAAGAGGACTAAACATTTTGGCTAGTAAGAACAAACCTTTCAAATGCTGCAGGGGCATGAAGCAGGGGTGCAAGTTTTACAGATCAAACTCAAGATAGGATAAAACCAAGCAAAAGATGAGAATGGCAAGGAGCACCAGTATTGGCAGCAGCAAACTCCCCAAACCTAGAATGTACATTTTACTTTGAGGAGGGGAAAAAAAAGAAAGGAGTGGCGAGGGAGAAACAAAGGATTCTGTACAAAAGTGCAGCTTCTCAGTGTCTGCGAAGGGTTAAAAATATCCCCAAGAAAAAGCTTCTGATGTGGCTGCAGAATGTGTGTAAAAATGCTGGAATTTTTCTATCCTGGTTAATTATGAAAACTAGAGAAACAAACCAGGTCCATTAACTGCCAACTGTGACGATGTGGAAGGGAAATAAACACCCAACACAGAGAATGTGAAATTCATTGATGCAACAGAAAAACAGCAGGAAGAAATACTGTAATTCATGTAAGTTTTAAAACTTTATTTCAAATTACCCATGGTTTCCTTTTATATTATCAATGTGCTAAAAGTTCACACTACTGGCAGAATACAGGCAATTTAAAATAAAGTATACAATATTCAGACACATTTATATGTAACAGAAATTATGGAATGTATTTACAGACATACAGCATGGGATGAAGCTTTAAAATCCTTTACTCTATTAATTACACGTTTACACTGTTTTCAGAAATAACAAAATTAGACTGCTTTGTAAAACATCACAATATCTATACCAAAGAATTTTTTAGATGTCCAAATTCACCTTACAAGTCCTCTGGTTCTAAAACATCTTTTCAAAGAACCATTTATAGTCATAAAAGGGTAAAAATACCATTTGCCATTGTGTCAGTACCAAGAACAACAGAGGTGTTCTCGGCGCTGTAAGAAGTTGTCTCTGATTCACTTTCAGCAGGCCACTGAGGTCAGGGCCTTTCCGAAAGCCTCCCCCTTCACAAGGGGGAAGACCCAAACCCTGGCTGTTTTGCCCCGACCACCGCAATGCCATCAGGGACTCCCCGGTGCCCGTGCTGCTCGATCTCAAGAGTGTAACCTTGCTGAGCCTCAACGCTGCTCAGTGCTTGACATGGTTTGAGGAAGGATGGCGACACAATGGAGTCAGTGTATAAACACCAGCAAGCACGAAACACTCAGATGGATTCCTCCCACATCCTCCAACACAAATGCCCCGGAGAGGAAAGACAATTGCCTCTTTACTTTAACACACAAAATAGAATTTTATACAAGTTTTCTTTAAAATATTCTTTTCATGGGATACAACAAAAATTGCACATAAATACACTGAAAATCCCAACTCATTTTGCAAAAAAGAACTGAAGTTGTTTTTGGTATAATACATTAAATAAACCATATGATGAAACTTCAGGTTTGGATTTTTGTCCTAAACATTTAGTCAAGATTTAGTGTTTGCCAGCATGAAAACACAGGATTATAAACGTCAAACTAACATGACCACATACACTGAAACTGCCAGAGTGAACCGTTGCTTAGAACAAAGTAAGTGGTACTGGGGACAAAATGCCTGCCCAGCCATGCAACCATTGCGCTTTACGTGAACTCAGCTGCTGCGCGTATGCACCGCTCGTACGGAAGAGTATCTGTGTTAACCAGGCATGATAGGAAACGGCCACTTCTTGCAGTTCAGGCTCAACTCCCCACCCCATTAATTCCTAAAAACTAGTATTAATGAAATGACAAACTTCCACCAACCTGAATACTGTTAAGTTTCTTTTTCCCTAAGTGCTGGAAGCTGGACTGGAGCAAACAACACACCCTCACGATTCCATGAAGGGAATGGCCTTCTTAAAACAGGAATATTTAAATAGTCCACAAAGGGTGTGCTGTTAAAAAGTTAACATGCCTCTCTAACAACACAAGTGACCTAATGTTGAAAACTAAGATGAAGTCAGTGCCCCCCCTCTTTCAAATTATGTGTAGAGACAAACATACAAGAAACACTTGCGGTCTATACTGTTTGCTTGCGAGTGGCAGAATCTTCCATTCAGCAAACTACAGCAGAGACTTCAGACACTTTCATCTAGTCCTTTAAGAATTACCAACACTCCTTGCAAGCAAAATTAAGCAAAACCCAAGACCCACTTAAGGAGGAAAGTATGTCTGTATGGAGCTGCTCTCTTCCTACGTGTATTGC